ACAAACGGCTCTTTTTCAAGGACAGCTGTGCCAGAGCTTGTGACTGACCCAAGGTCACATCAGCAGGTGCAAGTGGAGGAGTGGGGAATCAAACCCGGTTCTCCCAGATTAGAGTCCACACACTTAACCACTACACCAAACTGGCTATCAATAGGGCAGAAACGCATCAGGTCATGTGTATTGGCCTTGTTTTTAGGCTATACTTTTTTACGAGGCTTTCATTAGGTTTTTAATATTGGCCCTTCATTAGACTTTCTTCTCACCCTTTTGGTTCTTGATTCCAGTTTTTGGGTCAGGTTTGTTTTCCCCTCCCTGTGCCATAATTTCAAACATCACACCACAGTGATTCAGAAGCGCAACGAAGGGGCTGGAAATGGAAGAAAGCCATTTACTTCCCACCAAAGCGGTACCTATTTATCTACTTGCAATTTCTTGCTTTCGAACTGCTAGGTTGGCAGGAGCTGGGGCCAGAGATAGGCGCTCACTCCGTCATGCAGCACTCAGGTCTTGAACTGCTCAGCTACCGACCTTCTGGTCTGCAGTTCAGTAAATGCAAGAGGAAGATCACGCAGCAGCAAAAAAGGATGGGGGGAAGCGGCATTGTAGGAAGCACTAGAGACATTTCATTCACTGCTGTTTGCTTGAGGACACTCTAGCTCTAACTTTGATAGCCACAGAGGTGCTTTTCGGACATCACCCATTAAAAGTTTCTGCCAAATGCAGAGTTGCTGAATTAGAAAGCAGTTTATGTCAACAACGGCTCAGGCACGCTTTGCCAATGGGCCGCAAGCAGGTTCTTAGGAACAGGTAGATGAATTCCACTAGCAGCCGGTTACTAAACAGGGTCTGTCTGAAATGACAGGAAAAAATCCATTAGCATCCAGTTACTAAAACAGGATAGGCAATCTGAAAAAGGCCATAGCTAGGTTTCAGTGGGCACAGGACAGATCTCAGCTGTCCCGAACCCAACGGCCGGGCTTGGTATGATGCAGCATTGCTTACCTGTAGGAACAGAAGGGGGGATAGATGACTACTCACCACAGCTCCAACAGACCCCCCAAACTTTACGAGGGTGTTAATATGTTTCGTCAGTGTGTGCAAGGCTTCATCCTCGATGGGAAAAGGGTGTCCAAAAGCAGCAGCGCAAATCATTTTGGAGACTGAATGCAAGATATGCCACGTAGGGTCCATAGGCTCCCCTGCAGATGTAACAGGTGTCAGTCATAATTACATCATTCATTCCCTCACTCGTCCCAGGGCATAGGGGGCATATAGGGACATTCACAGATGTCCACCTTCATGCATCCAAAGGGCACTTATATTCATCTGCCAATCTATAGGTATGTAGCAAAATGTGCAGAGAAACACATAAACACATGCAGCTGCCTTCAGCAGAATCAGATCATTGGTCCATAGAATCATAGAATGTTAGAGTCGGAAGGCACCTTGCAGGTCATGTAGTCCCACCACCTCTGCACTCTGCAGGAGTATACTGAAAGACAGCCCTACAACATACCCGAAAGATGGTTGTCCAGCCTCCACTTGAAAACATCCAGCGAAGGAGCATCCACCACCTCCCGAGGCAGACTGTTCCACTGCTCAACCACTCTGACAGTTAGGAAGTCTCTCCTGATATTTAGCCGGTAACGACTCCCTTGTGATTTCCACCCATTAGCTCTAGTCTTGCAATCCAGAGCAAGAGAGAACAGATCTGCTCCACCTTCTACATGACAGCCCTTCAGATACTTGAAGACTGCAATCATGTCCCCTCTAAGCCTTCTCTTTCCCAGGCTAAACATACCCAACTTTCCTCGTAAGACTTGGATTCCAACCCTCTCACCATCCTGGTTGCCCTCTTCTGGACACGCTCGAGCTTGTCAGCATCCTTCCTAAAATGTGGTACCCAAAACTGGACACAGGACTCCAGGTGAGGCCTGTCCATAGCAGAATAGAGCGGAACTACCACCTCCCGTGATCTAGACACAATGCTTCTGTCAATCTTATCTACTCAGACTGGCAGGGGCTCTCCAGGGTCTCAGGTTGAAGTCTTTCCCATCACCTACCACCTGATCCTTTTAATGAGAGATGTCAGGGATTGAACCTGGGACCTTCTACATGCCAAGCAGCTGCTCTACCACTAAGCCACACACACACCCAAGCCTTTGTGCAAAT